TAGACGTCCCTCGATTCACTCTGTTCTTTACTGAAAAAAAAAACATGCTGCAGCGGCTACTTCAGTAATAGAGTTCATATTATGCTGGACGGCCGCGCGTGTCCAGTTGCAAACTCTGCGGGACAAGACTGAATCGAGGAGGCCTATGTTTACTTCTTTCTCTTCTCTCTGATTCAAAAGCGTTCTTTCGCTTTAGATATGCAGTAGAAACCGGACTATGGCGTGGGGAGCCCGCTTATATAATCTGATGGAATTGAGGTGCTCTCTCTGCCTAAAACGCTGCCAATAAGCTTGAAAAAAAAAACCTTAGAAGAAGTGGCTACACCAGTATTAGAGTTCATATCATCACGAAAGTCGGGCGGATCTTGTTCAATGTTATCCGATGTGTCGACCAGAGTGAAATCTACCGCCACCATCGGTAAATCAGCTAGCGCAGCTTTGCCTTCAGCTTCAAGATTTTTGCCTGAACCAAACCGCTTCGAAGTTTTGACCAAAAAAGATGCATTTCCCAACTGTTGAATTTGGTCGGGTTCGTCCGAAGGGGCGGTCTGAGCATGCGATTTTTCAATGCCGCGGTAACAGATGTCAGGGCTTTCCTTAAAAAAAAAAGATCAACTACTATTTCAGAAAATGCGGTTTTCTCTTGCTCCCTGTTACAGCTAGAACCTGATGCTTCACATTTCTCAAATAAACGCGCTCACCTAGCTGCTGTAGATGATTTTGGAAGTGGCATGCGCTCCACATTTTGCACGGGGATCTCTTTATCAATGCACAGCTTGATTGTGACGCAAATCTAGAAGAGACATTTTTTTGTCAAAGCGGATGCAAAATTATCACCTGCTCAGCGATCGACTCCGCATACTCGTTAGCTTCCTCAATACTTTTCAATCGTATTGCAACATTGTTGAATAAGCGAGTTTTTCCAGCGCACATGGTCCAACTTTCGTTCATAGTGCTCAACCGCAAATATAGACGAGCTGAGCGGGATGGGCGGCCGACCTGTAAAACCGTATAGTCAGTCCCTTTCAAAACACAAAAACAATTCGTGTGAGGACACTAAAGCAAGCCACCTCGTTTGTGTGAACTACACAGGTGAACTGAGGAAGGACTTCGCCTTGATAGGTAAG